CAAGAAGGTGTTCTTGACTCATTCGACTTAGAGTCGTTTGAAAATTGCGAAGGATGCTTATTAGGCAAGATGATAAAACAGCCATTCTCCAAGTTGGGAGAAAGGGCAAGTGACTTATTAGGTCTAATACACACGGATGTATGTGGACCAATGAGCACACCCGCAAGACAAGGTTACCGATATTTCATCACTTTCATCGACGATTATAGTAGATATGGCTATATCTACGTAATGTTGAATAAATCTGAATCCTTTGAGAAATTCTAAGAATTTCAGAAAGAAGTTGAAAATCAACTTGGCAAGAAAATTAAAGCACTTCGATCGGATCGAGGTGGCGAATATTTGAGCCATGAATTCAACGATCACTTAAAAGAAAATGGCATTCTTTCAGAGTTGACACCTCCCGGAACTCCTCAATGGAACGGAGTGTCCGAACGGAGGAATCGAACCTTGTTAGACATGGTTCGATCAATGATGGATCTTAGTGAACTCCCTATCTCCTTCTAGGGACATACGCTACAAACTGCAGCACTAACACTAAATAGAGCTCCGTCAAAAGCTGTTGAAAAGACTCCATCTGAATTATGGGCTAAGAAACCTCCTAGGTTGTCTTTTCTCAAGATTTGGGGATGCGAAGCATATGTCAAGCGATTAATTTCGGATAAACTTCACCCCAAATCGGATAAGTGTTTCTTTGTGGGATATCCAAAAGAAACCAAAGGGTATTACTTCTACAATAAATCCGAGAACAAAGTATTTGTTGCTCGTGATGGTATCTTTTTAGAGAAGGATCACTTTTCCAAAATGACAAGTGGGAGGAAAATTGAACTCGACGAAGTTCGAGAGGACAAGCAACAATGTCAACCTGACAAAACTGACAATCTAAAAGCTCTGGAAGCATCTAAGAAGATTGGTCAGAATTAAACTGACAATGAAAATGCTCAACCGATTACCCTTCGTAGGTCGCAACGGCAAAGATCTCAACCAGGCAGATACCTTGGTATCGTCTTAACTGATGATTAGGACATCCTAGTCATGGATGGTGATGAGCCGGCGACATACAAGCAAGCTATGACGAGCCCCGACTCTGCAAAATGGCAAGAGGCCATGAAATCCGAGATGGACTTCATGTCTGAAAATCAAGTCTGGGACTTGGTGAATTTGCCCGAGGGTTATACACCCATTGGTTGCAAATGGATCTTCAAAGTGAAGACAGACAAGGATGGAAAATGTATCAATATACAAAGCTAGATGGGTGGCAAAAGGTTATAGACAAGTCCACGGGATTGACTATGATGAAACTTTTTCACCAGTTGCAATGCTAAAATTTGTCCGGATCATCCTAGCGATTGCTGCATATTACGATTATGAAATATGGCAAATGGATGTCAAAACCGCCTTCCTTAATGGAATTTCGGAAGAAACTGTGTATATGACACAGCCAGAAGGTTTTGTCGATCCAGGCAACGCTGAAAAGGTTTGCAAGCTGAAGAAGTCCATTTATGGACTAAAGCAAGCCAGCAGAAGTTGGAATCTGCAATTTGATGAAGCCATTAGCAAGTTTGGTTTTATCAAGAATCCAGATGAATCTTGTGTATACAAGAAGGTCAGTGGGAGTGATATTACATTCCTAGTCCTGTATGTCGATGACATACTTCTCATTGGAAAGAGCACAAAATTGTTGGAGTCCGTAAAGGGCTGGTTGGTAAAGTGCTTTTCAATGAAAGACTTAGGAGAGGCACAGTACATATTGGGCATGAAGATCTACAGGGATAGATCTAAGAGGATGATTGGATTAAGCCAGAGTACTTACATTGATAAGGTACTGGCTCGATTCCACATGGAGAATGCCAAAAGAGGGCATTTACCCATGTCCCATGGCATAACTCTCAGCAAGAAACAGTGTCCACAGACACCTGTTGAGCGAGAAAGAATGAATCAGTTCCCATATGCTTTGCTAATCGGATCGATCATGTATGCCATGATATGTACAAGGCCAGATGTATCGTATGCCCTGAGTTCAACGAGTAGATACCAATCGAACCCAAGAGAGGCGCATTGGACTGCGGCCAAGAACATCCTTAAGTACCTGAAAAGGAACAAGGATAAATTCCTGGTGTATGGAGGCCACAAAGAACTGGTTGTTGAAGGTTACACCGACGCTAGCTTCCAGACTGACAGAGACGACTTCAAGTCACAGTCGCGGTACATATTCTGTCTGAATGGAGGAGCGTTTAGCTGGAAGAGTGCCAAGCAGAGAACCAGTGCAGACTCTACAACTGAAGCCGAGTACTTGGCCGCTTCAGAAGCTGCCAAGGAAGCTGTTTGGATTCGCAAGTTCATTAGCGAACTTGGTGTTTTACCCTCAATCAAGGGGCCGATAGACCTCTATTGTGATAACAATAGAGCTATCGCTCAGGCCAGGGAGCCGAGAGAGCACCAGAAGGTCAAAAACGTTGAAAGGCGATTTCACATGATTAGGGAATGGAAATCCGAAGGTGAAATCAGAATTTGTAAGATTGGCACAGATGATAATGTAGTCGATCCTTTGACTAAACTGCTGCCTCAAGTGAAACACAACAAGTACATTGAGTCGATGGGAATCAAGCATGTTGGAGACTGGCTTTGAAATTCCCTGTACATGTGTTTTAATTAAATAGGATATTTAATGTAAGACACTATATTAAAACCATTCATTAATAGAGTATTTAATTTTTGTGCAAAATTATCATTCACTCTATTACTATTTAATTGTGGTTTAGAATTAAATAATGAGTTCATTCGATTACGGAAATATTCAAAACAGGGTATCAAGACCATGTCTTGGATAAAGAAACACCTGTTAAGTGAACATTGAATATTTAAATCGAAAATTGTCCCTAATCGAGGTCATCTAACAGATGGACGATTGATGACCGCCATAGATTAGTGTGTAGTATGATTTACAACACCGTTTCTTATGTTGCGAGGACGTGACGGTCATAAATAATTTACACAGGCAAAGTTTGGAACTGTACTGGATAAGACCTATGAGAGTACTTTAAGAATTTTTAAATTTTGTCATAAGTACATTTCTCATTATGACTATCAGAACTTGTTTCCTCCGACCATGAGTATTGTGAAGTTTTCTTGTTTGAGTACTAGACTCTTTGATGTTTCCTAACGTCTGCCGTAACTGGGGATCATAACAGGAACACTCAGGAGACTATGTCCTCTTAGTAAGAGTAACTTACAATATAAGACTGGGATTGTCCCCCTACTAACAATAGGGAAAATGTTTTGTTGTTTACAAGGCCGCTCGAAGAGCGAGACTGTGAAAATGCATGGCCGTGCTCAGATGGATTTTAGAAATCATCTGCTTATTGATAGTCGAACTCGGAGATCGAGAAACACTTCTGAACGTAATAAGGATGACAAAGAATCTTACCTTATTGTTCACGAAGAAACATTAGGTGACATAGGAAATGGGCTATACATTGTATGCACACTTGTCCGGAAGATTGAAAGGAATGGTGTCCTTCCAACAAGTGTATACTTCCGATAGAGGGTTTAGAATTATTACAGAGCTAATTCTTCAGTAAGGTCAAGTGATCGGAATGCCTAGGTGGAGGTCGCTTTCGATCAGTAATATCAATGTACAATTGATGTTACAGCTTAATCTTAACTGAACCCTTCGGGTCGAACCCAATCGAATCACCAGTTCGAGACGACGAATTAATCCGAAAGGATTTAATGAGTCTGCAGAGTTTTATGAATACAGACGTCGGATAACGAGCCTAGGGCGTCGAGACCGAGCGTCGCGAAATCACAAAGCAACAAGTATGAACATAGCCCTAGCACCATAGTGGCCTAGCCATGTGGATGCTAGGCTAGTTCAGGCTAGCATGCACCTGGCATGGCTAGGCGCAAGCCTAAACACACTAGGTGTGCTAGGCGCACCATCGCGGCCTAGGTGCACCATCGCAGCCTAGGCGCGCCATGGCAACCTATCGCAGCCCTAGCATCATGCCTAGGCACCATCGCTGCCATCGCAGGCACCAGGCGCACCAAGCAGCCCATCGCAGAGCGTGCTGGCTTGTGTGCCAGCCTTTGCATGGCAGCACCAAGTAGGGCACCATGCATGTGCGAGGGCCTGGGCGCCAGCATATTGCTAGGCCACGCACAGCAGCCCAGCATCACCACGCACCGAGGCTGCTGTGTAATGTGTGGGTGTGCGTGTGGTGCGAGGCCAATGCACGCTATGCATGACTAGTGCGCATGGTGCATAGCTAGTGCATGTGCAAGGGATGTTGCGAGGATGGTGCGTATGGTTGGCAAGGCAAAGGGGCCAGCATGCATGGCTCACTAGCAGCACGCATGCTGGGTGTGCGAGCATGTGCGAAGGGGTGCAGCGATGATGCGTGTGGTGCGTGGGATGCGAAGGCCAGCACCAGTTCCAGCATGCACCAGTGCCTAGCACTGACACGCACCAGCACCAAGCATGCGAGGCTGCTGGGTAGGCTGGTGCTAGCTGGCTGGGCTGGCTGGCACTGCTAGCTGGCGTGCTAGTTGGCAACAGCCCAGCAGCCCTTTTGGGTGAGGCAGTTTTGTGAGGGTGGGAACCAAGGCTTTGGGAAAGCCTTGGGGAGCAAGGCAATGGTCCCCCCCCCTCCACCTCTCCATGGTCCTCACCTAACCTTCTTTCTCCCTTTGACACTTGTTGCATTGTGATTGAATTTAATTATTGATTTATTTTAGAAATAAATTAATTAGCAAATTATTCATTCTCCCACATTGGTTGGGGAATGAAGTTCAAGGGTTCATTTTCCTATAAATACCAAGCTTGGGTATTGGGAAATGAACAACCTTGAGTGGACTTAAAAAGGAAACTCTAAGTAAGAGTAAACCTTTGATTCGTAAAACTCATAGTTATTTTGTCCGGGTCTTGACTAACCTTCAAGACTTAGGACGCTCGGGTCGGGTCGAGGGTACGATCCGTCGGAGATCTCGTGTTTTCGGGATTTTGAAGTAATAGCTCTTTGGGAGCGAAGCACGCGACAAAGGTATAATTCTTGTTCTTAATCTTGTTTGATTAAGTTTAATATGCTTGTTAATTATTTTAATTAAGGGGCGGGTCTTGGTGGGTTTCCTTCCGCGTAGTGTCGGGTCACTACGAAACCCTACAATTATTAATATTTTCTCTCTTTCTTTCTTTCTTGTGTTTCCTTTCCTTTCTGCAATTTTATTTGTTTCATTGTTGGGGCACCATAAGATAAACTTACTGGATTTAATTTGTGCATTCCTGCAGCAGCATCACTATGGTCTATTTAATCTCACAAGTACACTGCATTATACCTTTAACTCCAAAACTTCGGTCATGAGAATTGAGGATGATAAAAAAAAAATTAAGCAATCATAAAAGAACTCTGAGTGTAACTGTGTACAAGCAAAGGAATGAAGAGTACCGCACACTGAAAAGCTGAGTGCTACGCAATGTGCAGCAACATCACAAACATTCTGAAATCCCATAATCTACTAAACCAGCTAAGTTTCTTCTTCTTTCTTCATTTCTTGTTTATTGAGGACAATGAAAAGCTTAAGAGTGGGGGAAAAGCTTTGTGAAATTTATGTTGTTGATTGTCATGTTTGGTGTTTTGTTCCGGTCTTTTTTGATATTTTTTTTTTTAGCTGAGTTGATGTTGTTTGGTTATGGCGTAGTACAAGGAAGATGTTGTAAAATTTTTGATTGAAATTTTTGTTTACTGCTGGCTGCATGTCTAATTGTCTAAAAAATATGCTTCAGTGAAATTCCAAACCAAGGAATGTGAATTGTTAAAAAATAAATAAAAGAAAAAATGTTTTCCTTTTTGTCACTAATTGACTTGTATTGGATCACTAAAATGGTATATAAGATGGCATAAATCCTTCGTTAACATTTGTTTGTGGTAAGGTGGATTGCTTTCTCTTTGTGCAATGAAACTCGAAAGGAGGGCCACGAACTTCGTAAGACTCAAATTCATCTATATTCATCCTCCTTCTTGATTGCTCAAATTGGGACTTGCATTTTAGCATCCAGAGACCGATGATCAAAGTGTGGGGAAAATGATAAAAGACATTTTTTTTTATTATTAGAACTTTCAGAGTTTAGGCTTGTTATTTATTTTACTTTACAAATTATTCCCTTTGCTTAGCCTTTTTGTGCCTAAATGTCCTATTTTTGGTTCACCTACATTACAAACTTATGGCCTTTTACCCATCTTGTGCTAAACGGAGTATTATTATTTGGGTTGTGTTGTAAGTTGTTGAATGAAAAGAAAAAAAAGGGAAAGAATTGTTTATATGACAAAAAAATGTAGAATTATAATGGGCCGAAAAAAAAGAAAGAAAAAAAGTTCTGAAAGTTGCAAAAAAATAAAAATAAAAAAACAAGTTATCATTTGAGTTTGAATTATGGTATTGATATTCTAGTTGGAGTTGTTTGTGACGTTTATATTAAAAATGTCAGACTTTTATTGTTTATATTCTCTTTAAGCACGACACTTTTACCACCACTTTTCCAAATTTTCCTACCCTTAACCTTAACCCCATTACAACCAAATAAAATTCCTTTTTGATTTTCCATTGCACTATTGGTCTCCTAACGGTGGAGGGTTAGATTTTTCGAGGGTCATCAAATCGAACAGAGGCGCAAGCTAATATGGTAGAGCATCCCTAGGGTGGATTCAAACATGGGGGAGAGAAGCGGTAAGATTGACTGGTTAATGAAGGTGCAAAAGTCTTGGTTTGTATCATGATCCATTCTTGTTAATTTTGACATCAAAATAATTTGTGAAAGAAAATTGAGCTTATACTTGAGAAATAATTTATTTCGTTAATTAGTTTGAAATTTCACTTTATTGTAAGTTTGGATTTTGATCGAGGGCAACCAAAGACTAAGTGTGGGGGAATTTGATAAGTGCATAATATACCATATTTTTAGTCTCTAATATTAGTCTTATAACTGCCTTATATTAGTTATTTTATGAAACCATTTACTTTAATTATTTTAGACTTTATTTTAATCAGTATTTTATCTGATAGCTATTTTTATAATAATTGGTACTTAATATTAAGTTGTGTGTTTTTCATAGGAAAGCGAGAAGAAAAAGGAGTGGGATTGACAAAAACAAATAACTAAAAGAAGCCCATTTGCTTTACTACTCCAAGGCACCAAGTACCACAACTATTACGTGCCATCATCTAAAAAAACAGAGAGATAAGAAGAAAAGGAGGAAGAGGTGCGTGAAAAACAGGGAACCAAACCCACCATTATCAAAGTTTCATCCCCAACAAGAATTGTAATTATCCTCCGAAATTCAAGGCAAGATATAAAGAAAATGAATCTCTATCTTATTTCACAAATTTATCTCTTTAATCCCAGAAAACCTAGGTTGTTTTGGTTATAAAAATCCCTAATTATTCCTTCTAAAAACACACAACTTAGCCAAAAATTATATGAAGTGCAAGATAGTTCAAGTAAGTCCATAATTGGGGAATTGGTGAAGAGAAGATAGCCATTGTAGGGAAGCTTAATCTCAAGTCCAAGGTTGAACAAGGACAAAGGTGAATTGCGAGGTCAAAGCTCGGTTAATTCGGAGGTTCTTGAAAGTATAGTTCATAAGTCTTCTTCTTACTCAATTGTTTGGATTACTTTGCTAGTTTAATTAATTACGTTGATTAGAATATTGATGTGATAAATTGGTCTTCGATTTTATAATCTATTTGCATAATTTCTTTCAATCTACTGACTATTTGAAATTTGCTTGATCTTGATTAATAATCTTACAATTTAACATTGTTTCTTATCTTTCAAGTGTTTAATTGTGAATTATTGCTACCTTTATGGTTTGGCTTAGTTTAAATCATGCAGTAAAGTAGTCCCTAATTTTATATTGAGTCTGCAATTATGGTTTGGTTAAAATTAGATTAATTAGGACTAATGAGGTCTCCTAGTTATTAATGCTTCTGTATCTAACTCATGCAAGTTGCGACCATATTTGTGTTAGTTAGATTGGTTTAGAGTCAATTTTGGCATAGTTCAGAATTGGTTTCAATTAAGGGAGATAATCGTTAAATTGAGTAATTTTGCAGAGTCGATCAATTATTATTATCAATAGTTTAATTTGAGTAGAGTTAACGTGGAATTGGTTAAGTATGTCGTCACTTGTGATTAGTATTTTCAATCTCGTTCAGTTAAGTTGTTCGTTCAAGTTAAAACCTACCATTCTCATGTATATAGTATAAATAGTCTTCTTTATGTGTATATAGTTATATTTTCGAGTTGACTTTGAATTTATAGAGTTGTTTAATCTCCTCGTGGGATTGACTCTTACTTATCCTTTTTACTAGTATTAATAGTTTTTGAAGGTCTAAGTTAGGTAAATAATTAATTAATTTTATAAACGACCCGTATCAGTATGACAGTCCCAAAATGAGGTTTATGGTGGGTTTGACACCATGAATTTATGCGAGCGCAGCATGAGAACGCAAACACAAAGTCTTGGAGCTAGCCATTCCTTGCCTTGTGAGCTATGCATAAGCTTCCTCCTTGCACTTTGAGTCTCTTCCAACCCAGAAAATCATCGTCTTGGCACTTCAATGGTGTCGTCTTGATCATCACTATCTGTGGGGCCCTAGGGCGTCCTCTTAATTCGAGCCATAGTGTCCTACATAGACACAAAGACAGTCGGATTCGGGGATGTTCTAAGGGGAGAGTCCGAGAAGTGGCAGGCAACACTACTAGTCCTAGATTCAGGTGTCCCAAGTGACCGGCTGACAGATATCTTATGTCGTGTCGTGTGTGTTTGTGAAACCATTTTTGAAAAGAAATGCAAACACATGCGGTAAATAAAGTAAGGAAGAAGAGAGAAGCAGGCGGTTACCTTGTAAAAGAGAATGAACTGTTGAAATTGCAAAGATTTGTGTCGAATGTGATAGCAGGTAGACAACACTTAGGCGGCAGAAGTGTTTCTCTCAAAAAGTCAAATTCTTTCTCAAAAATTTTTCGTAAACGTGCAAAAATGAGAGGGGGTAAAAACTATATAAGGGGTAAAATCTCAGGGCACCCCTGTAATTTTCCCGGAAGGTGAAACGGTTAAAATAACCGCCACCAGTGCATCCATGACAAATGTCTCAGGCGCCACGTGGCACGCCACATCACCCTTGTGAGGAGCAAATGATTTAGGTAAAAATACCCTAGCCACATGGGCTAATCATATAGTGACACGTGTCACCCTAGAAGGTGCCCAAAATGGGCCAACTAGGATAAGACAAGTGGCATACGCCAGTCATGAGGGAAAATGGTGGCCTTCAAGGGCCCAATTCCTGAGGCACCGCAAAACGGCGCAGCCCACCTCCCAAGGTTAAATGACCTAAAGAGGGGCACAATTCCCCATGTCCTATAAATAGGGACATTTACCCCCGTTTGGGGGCACATTCATTTATTACAACTTTATCTGATTAGTACATCAATCAATCAATATTCTCTAACAACAGAGAAAAACACCTTATCTTGGGATCCGAGAAAACCTACTTACTTTCCGCATTTATTACACTCCATTTGTTACTAACTTAAGTGTTGGAGGCGGAACTTCGAACACCCGGAGATTCCGTTTGATTGTAGGTACGGGCGAATGAGGATCTAGTCTTGTGACGTAACTCTCCCGCGGGACACATTAGAAAACCCCGAAACACATGATCTTAATATTCCTTACGCAAATCATTATTAAATTCATCATAGATTCATCACATAACATCCAAATTTATGAATAATCAAGGTTTAATTAAAGTAGAAGCAAGAACAATTTTTTTTTAAAAAAGAAAACACAACCGCACACAAAGGGTAAAGGCAAGGTGGATGGATGTCGCCCTTCCTCGCGGTGGCTGCTGCCAACGTGCTACTTATGGTGGTGGCCGGCCGATGTGGGCTGTGGTGGTGGCTGGCCACCCTTGGTGTGTGTGTTAAGGTAAGTGAGGGAGGGGGAAATAAGGGAGAGAAAATAAGAGGAGGGAGAGAGAGTTTACCTCAATCTTGGGTACGTATTTTTCACCTGGTGTAAAGATTTGATTTTTACCTTAAGGTGGGTATTTATTCCTCCCCAAAAAACCCACCTTCCTATTTAATTTCCTTATTTACTATTATATAATGAATCCTTCTCCACTCAGACTAGTTGTTTATATTATTTAAATCCTTTAGACTTTAAAATTCCTTTATAAATTTAATACTCGCCCAAAAGTTGTTTAAATATAAACATTAAATGTTTCCAAAACCATTTTAATAGATTAATTGATCGGTTTTTATTTAAGTTCAACCTTTCAATTATTAATTAGAAACGAATAATTCTTTTCAAATTAATAATAAAAAAAACATTTATAAAGTAATAAATTGATTTATAAATAGTATAAAAATACGGGGTGTTTGGGTCCAATTACTACTCTATTGGGCCTGGTTCACAAATGATATAATTCGAAGCCCAAAAGCAAGGTTCAACCTTCCAGCCCAAATGCTAGGTCAGTCAATGGTCCGATCAACGTGGTCAGCCCACTTGACCTCAAGGGCCCAAGTCATTCAATTCAGCAAAGGTATATAAGCCCTCATTCAACTCATATCACATTCATTCACAATCAGCCTCAAGCACAAAATCTCTTGCATAGCTCATTCTCTCTACACTATACTGACTTCGGCATCGGAGGGGCCTTCCTCGGCACAATCCCCGAGGCCAGTTTATGTGTGTTTGTTGTGCAGGAAATCCTTGGCTCAGTAATCACTCGGACCAAGATTCGTTTTCTCCTACAAAAGGACCTGCCGAAGGTCCCATTGTTTTCATCCAAAATAATTTGGTGCCGTCTGTGGGGAAGATACAAAAACTTAAGCCAAAGAATCTAACCAGTCTTAGAAGAAACATGACTAAGAGTGGCAAGAGCACCAAGAGTGCTAAGAAGAATGGTCACACCTCTTCGAAGAGGAACAGAGACCTGATCACGGTGAGGGAAAATTGACCAATTTCGCCATCACCGGAACCAGTTTTGTCTTCTTCCGAAGCTCCCCATTCTCCAGAAGGGGACGCTTCGGAAGGCTCTCCATCCCACCATACTTGCCAGCCGACAAGTTTCCCAGGCCGAGTGGGTCTAATGCGAGAAGTCCTCCACCGCAAAGTCTACACTATCGGTCCCAGCCGAAAGAAACCCCTCCATTGGGGCCCTCTACGGAGGAAGTGGCAAGGGCCGTAGCAGTCTGCATGGAATTCCTCAAAGCCCAAGGAGGTCAACTCCCACTAATGCCCCACGAGTCTTCACCTCTTCAGCCGAGACACCTGAGAAGGAGAATCGGTCAAGAGGAAGATGGACAAGTTCCACCCTACAAGGAACTTGGGGAGAAGTGGCAAGAGGACACATGGAGGACCGAGAGGCAAAAGGAAAAAGAACCCTCAATTCTTTCACCACTCCGAAACTCGAGACTCCATGAGTTTCCGAAGCAGCAATACTACCTCTGCGTGTAAAGAGTCTGCTCGCTGAAGCGTCCATGAACGCTTAGGCTCAAGAGAGGTAGACGTGCATAGCCGTCTCGCCTTCCCCGAAGGAACCGAGCCCTACCCTGAATTGTCTCGGCCAGGGATGAAAACCACTTCCACCTCTTTAAGAAGGAGAAGCTAGGTCCCTTCGGCCAAGCAGAAAAGGGAAATCCGTAATGGTTCCTACAGGCTCGCCCTTCCAAAGTTGGATATTGGAAGAGCATGTGCCGACGGTAAAAATACCATCGCACATTACTAACGATGGTAACTCAGACACGAAAGAGCACATTGCCTCTTACGAAGAGCACATGTATCTTAACCCCAGGTCCGAGGCTACCTGGTGTAAATATTTTCCGACCACCCTCAAAGGCGTTGCACTATCGTGGATCTCCAAGAGGGTGAAAGAAGGCTCTATAACACGTTGGAATGACCTTTCCAACAAATTCAAGAGCAAGTTTTCTACCGCGAATCGCCGAGAGAAAACGACTACAGAGTTTATGAGTATGCAGCAAACGGAGGGCGAAAGCCTCCGAGATTACTTGACTCGCTTCAGCAACAAGTCGTCCAGGATCACGAGTCCGGACCAAGGCCTTGCCATATTTGCGCTGCGGAATGGCCTGCAAGCTGGAAAATTCCTAGACTTCATGGTCATGCATCCCCCGCAGACCTTGGAGGAAGCTTTGGATGCCTCGGATAAGTTTATTCGAGCCGAAGAGTGGAATAAAGCAAAATATCAATCCCAAGCAGGGGCCGTGAAAGGAAAGGGAAAGCGAAAGCCTCAGAACCTTCCTCGGCACCTGAGCTGAAGAAATATAGGACCCCCTATACGGGGAGGTTTGATTCTTACACTCCTCTTGCTCTTCCACGTGCTAATATCTTTAGCACAACCAAGGATGAGGGGAGATTCAAGAAGCCGAGGACACTTCCATCATGGCATCAGAAAAAGGGGAAGGATCAATAGTACGAGTTCCACGATACCACTGGACACCGCACCGAGGGCTGCCTCCACCTGAAAGACCAGATCGAGGATTTGGTCCAGAAGGGCTATTTGAAAAAGTACGTCGCAGACCGCCGCGAAGAGAAGAAAGCCGAGAGAGATTCTCGGCAGGATTTGGATTTTCTCCGGAAAAGAGACAAGCAAAATGACAGGGAAAACCTTGACATTCTCACTATTTCCGGTGGGGTTCCTCGGAATGCACTAAAACGCCACTTGAGGGGCTTGACCCATCAAGTC